AGAAAATATAACAGAGAAAATATAACTTATATAACTCACTCAGATTGCTTTTATTTCTGTAATTGAAAAACAGGTGTAAGTAAAGGCAAAATTCTTCAAAATTTAATTCCCTAAATAACGTGGACGAAACATATGCGTAATGAATTGTAGGAAAACTTGCTTTGGTTTTGGTTTTCAACTCTTTAGGATTTAAAAAGTGATTAAGTAAAAATCTTATTTCAAATTGTTACTTTCATATATTCCAAGAAATTTAGTATTATTTAAAATTTCGCAATTATAGATAGAAATGTCATCATTATATACATGCTTCAATATGAATCTGACTTTAACTATAAATTCTGAACTGACGTTGATAAATTTTGGATTAACTTTGCAAAATGATGAACTAATAACTTGCTACATTTGAACAAATGGGTGATGAAATAACCTACTTGTGAATGGGTGAGGAAACATTTCGACGAATTTGAAATGTGGTACTGAAAAGCATCCATAAAAACACATACTAAAGAAACTATTTAGATTATAACAAACTATTTCAAATGCTGATTACACAAATGTACTAAACACAATTCTGAAAAATAGTGTTTTTACACAATTTTCTTTGACAGTTGCTGCATTAAAACGAGATAAAAGTCACTTTTGTGAAACGTATTTGTATTTGCGTCACGTAGCTATAAATTTATTAAAACTCTCCATCGATTAACTCAGGTTGTTGGGTTATAATTTAACCCTTGTATCTGTGGACTGTATTAAACACTGATTTATTTGGTATTTGTTGCAGTTCCTATTACAATCACTGATTTGTCACTAATTAAGTTATAATGAAAAAACATATTTATTTATTATTTATTACATATGTTATTTCGCGGACTTTACTTTTGGAAGTGTAAAAGCTCAAGGCCATGAAGATTGTCACCTCCATGGCTAATATAATAATATTAAAATACATCCCAATAGTATTTGAATTTAAAATTTTAAGGCGGTACGCAAAAGTATATCTGTTATATTTTGAATATAATATCGCAGAACCCTAGGAGTGTGCATTTATATCGGCTCCTCATTGTGATAATAACATGTTATCATGTCAAAACTTTGACGTAGTCGCAAATAATACAATAACGTGACGTTATAGTATTTTTATCGTAGGGTCGGTCGTGACACCCAAATGACGGCGGGCGCATTCAAGCTCTTCCCGCGAGCAGTTACGGTGATGATTTTTTGAAAGGACCACTTTTTGACGCGCAAATGCACAGCACAATGAGAATGAACGACGTAACCGCCCCCTTTCGGCTTTCTGGCTGCCAGCCACCCTTCCGTGACCGAACTATTAATGCTCTACTTATATCAAAAGCGATTTTTGTTTTGCTTCATAACTTCGAAGAGATTTAATAATAGTTTATTCAAGTAATAGCACGTATGTAACCAAACTCATGTGTTTTGTTTGTTCTATACATGACTTTTTTTATAAATACACGTTTGTCTTATGATTATTTTTGACTGCCAAATAGTTTTTTTACTGTATCACGCGATTTCCAAAACCGCTAGACATGCCTCCCCAAAAAATTATTCCATTCTTCATTTTGTCAATACAAGTGAAATGTTTTTTGAAATATTGAAATGGAACGGTCCGTTTTCTCAAAAACTGAATAGCCATTTTTGGCACTTTTTGCCCAGTATCTTCGAAACGGGTGAGCCTGCCTTGGCCAAAAACTAATCAGCACGTCTCCTCATCAATAAAAATCGGTGCATTTTAAACTATTGAAATCGGTTGAACACACACACATAATACTTTTTTTCTAATGTATGTCAAAATATTTAGAAGACTAAGACGTAAATATATATACAAATTTTCATTTTCGATTTTTGCGATTACTATAACTTACTACTACTTAAATTTAAAAAATTTTAAATTATTATGAATTAATAAATCATGCAAATTTCACAGATTCTTGATTTCATCAATTTATTTAATTATTAACAATAATACAGATAAAATTGCATAAACATAGAGAAAAAAGCGAAGAATCACCGAGGACAAATATAATTTATTGACTTTCTATGCATCACCAGAAGCAAACATGTAAAACAGGAGGTTTTAAGTTTGTATAAAATGTATGTATAATTTAATTTTTAGAGTGAGTGAAGAAAGTTTATAAACGTATAAAAAAATTTGTTGGTTTTAATAGTTCATAAAATATGAAGACGTATCCCGTATTTCCGAAACGTAGAAATTAGTAGTAAATTTATAGATTGTTAGTAATAAATGGCAAATTGAATATTTTTTGAGAAAAAAGGTTATCAGTTAAAAAAATCCTAAATCATAAAAGTTATCAAGAAAAACTTAAATTATATTATTATTATATCTATCAACAAAAGTACATATACGAGTTCAAGGATCATTGATTATAATTAGAAGCCACATCCCTTTTGAAATGCAATTAAAAATTTATTTTAACATTATGTTCACTGAAAGCGAAATTATAAAGCCTTAAGTGACAGTAATTAGTGTCAAAGAAATTGTTTGGGTCAAACTTCAGGCAATATTAAATTAATATGATCATTATAAAGGTCCAAAAGTATCCACGGTCCAGAAGTAACTATTAAATGTAATATTAAAAATAATGTATCCAAAGCCAAATTCCAGGCGAGTCTCCGACTTTAAAATCGCATATTGCCGCAATCGAAAAATTCGCATTTAGAGAAGTCCGAAGTTTAATCAATTTTCATTCATTATCACAATTTCAAGTAAATCAAGAAGGTCGTGCAGAATATTCTCCTCCAAGAAAAATTTGTATCGAGTGTTGAAAGGCTTATGTTGAATATTTAAACTATTATTTTTTTTAGAACAAAGCTACGTTCTTATATTGTGATATACCAAAATAAACGTTATTATTTAACAAATATGAGGAAGAATTTTATGGAATTTGACTATCTCACCAAGGATTTTGTTTATCTTCTTGATTATTATTTGACAGCGATTGAAACTATTTTCACTGTTCTAGGAGCTATTTCTATGATGAATTTTTCAGTATCCAATGTTTTTTAGAAAGCAACCAAATGGTTGGTCTGAGTGGGATTTTCACTTTGTGAATGAACTTTTAGACAGTTCTGACTGTGATATAATACATTGTAGCAATGCCCCCAGCGAAGACTATATTCATAACAAAACATTTTATTTCATATTTTCGATTGAGATCGGAAATCACTATTGCTCGATATTTGAACGATTTGAACTCTAAACTCTTTTGAGGCGAGATTTTTTACTATTGCACTACGAACGTTTCATTCACTTTTAACTCGCGTTAATATCTCAAAAAAATTACAGTATCACGTAACCAAAAATGATGCAATTAATTTAGTAAGTAAGGCTTGCTTGTAGACGAGGGGCTAGAGCGGCTGGACCTGAATCAGAGGTCTCGTGTTCGCTCCCGTTTCGAGCAGCCTGTTGTCAAGCAGTAGCGACAAGGGTTTTCACTTGAAAATATAGATAGGAATATATTTCAAAATAAAAATACCCCTGATCTGGCAGTGCTGCATCAACAAATTTTCGCCCCATTACAGAAATTGTAATAATAATTCATCATACAGAGATAGGACAACTGTTAGGGTTGGCATCTGTAGAATTGACTAGTATTAAGTCGCATTAGCACAACAGCTTATAGGACTTAAAAAAAAAATAAGTACCTAAGAATTGATATGCAATTTCATTTGATATTAGGCACAATGTGTAAAAAGTGTATTTTGATTCAAATTAAATTTAATAACTATCTAAAATGATAACAGCACTCTCCAAAAAAAAGTAACAACGAATTTAGATGTAACATAAGAACGCACGTTAAAAATTATTTGCTTGGTTGTATAAAAACACCCATTTCATGAACATTTTCTAGTAGGTAAAATCTTGCCTTTGCCCACGACCGACCACAAGGGTCTTCATAGCAAATCATCAGTAGTCAAAACACAATGCACGCTAGGTTGCGTCTTTTGACTTGTCAATAGTAGCCGTTCGGCAAGCAAAATTCTAAATCATATTAATAGCAGAAAACGATCGGCTTTATTCAATGCAAAAAACGTCGGTGCCTTCTGTTTAAACGAACTCTTCTTTTTGGTCGTTCAGATACAATAGATGGTGCTTCTCGATACTCAATAAACTATATAAAAGAAAATTTTATCTTTGTTCACTCGTCACATAGTTTATTTTAGACATATAAAGATAGATATATAGGTTTTTGAACGTTTATACGGTTTTTGAAGAAGCCTTCGTATTTATTACCACTTTTGATAAAACGTATCGTAACTAGTTGTAAGTGGCAATTTGCCTTAAAGCATCCACATCCCGATATGTTTGAATGATCACAATTTTCAACTAATTCAATTTGCAATTGATATTTTGATTTCCAGTCTTTTAATATCCGTAATTCTGTAACAAACTAAGCAAATCAAATTTTCTGACGAAAGCAAACTTTTTCCGACAGTCAAAAATTGATAATATTAAGATCTTGAAAGTTTTGCTACAAACTAAAGAATCTTAGTAAATGAAATTATACTTATTTAATTTGCTCAGAGCTTCGAATAGTACCTCAAGGCAAATTGCTGGAACTTTTCGTACCGTAATTTCGTACCGTAAGAAGTGATTGGAGGAATAAATATAATGAATAATCAATCAAAGATTATACATATTGTTTTAAATATTTTGAATTAGATTATTATCAATACCATAAAATTATAACTGCTTATTTTATTAAATTAAGCGACAAGCGTATTCTAACAGCACTATAAACATACATGCATAAACAAAACATAATCGAGCCGAGATAGAATAAATACATTCGAGGACCATTGTTACTGAACATTGTTGCCCTAAATCAGCTTCTACAATTTATTAAAATAAAAAAAAACTCCGCACATTGATTATTAATAAAATAATCTTTTAGGAGTACAAGTTTGCAGTAAAAAAAATCACAAATTAAATAAAATTTGACACACTAACTTGTTCTTACCTCAGTATCTGCATGGATGTCAGCATATCTTCGCAAAATTGCACAGAGTCAAATTTATCACACAAATTCACTTTGTTTTACGCGAAATTATGCAAAATTGATTTAATTAGCACTTTTGTTTTAATAATTAATTTACACAAAATTTATTACCTACTGCACTCACTTCTATTTTAAATTTTCTTTTTATCAGGCTGAAAGAAATTTGTGTATTAGTGAGGGGCACGGTCACAATTTTGTCCACATAAAAATATTATATAATTGAATAAATATTAATTATATAATTAGTTAATTATATAATTATTACCCAATTTCCTTACTATCACCTAGTTTATGGTTCAATCTATCTATTAAACAAAATTATCGATTTACACTCTATTTTAATACAATTTATAGATAACTTTGCAAAAACATTTTAAGAAACTGTGTTTTAATTTATATTTTTTTAATTAACATATTTTATATAATGTAGGATTATTATATCCTTTAAAAGAATACTTAATATCATCTAAAATGTATTTTTGTGCGTGGTTATCAATAAATTGTCTAGTTAATCAATAAATGAGTGTAATAGTTCGTCATCGAAGAGTTTTTACAAAAACTTTTATATACGTATAAAATTATGTTTATTGGCAAGTTGCTGTAACTTCCTGTTGCAAAAAGTACCAAATTAGAGAATATGTGAAAAAACAGACAATTTTAATTAAGAAGCGATAAAATTTGAATAATTCGAAAAATAACGATAAACATTGAAAAATAATTTTGAAGATCAAAAATATCATGAAAAATCTATAAATTTGATGAAAATTTGTTTTTGTAAATCCTCAACTAGACGTGTGACCGTGCCCTTATAAATCATGCCTAGGAATGAAAATGCACTGACCTTTGTTTAAAATCACCGATTCTTCTGGAACATCCCGATTACCAATTTGTTGTCTGTAAAATATAGAAAAAATTGGTAGCTTCTTAAAATATAATATATATATATATATATATATATAAAGATTTGTGCTTAAAAATCTGTGCATTACCTCGTGATTTCCAGAAGAGAGCTGACCAGGAACCAAGAACCAGGAACCGGGAACAAAACACTATCACTGCACTAAAACACTATAAATGCCTTTATAAAACATTATACACGCCCTAAAAAAAAGATAAACAAATTCGAATTAAAAAATTGCTCAAAAATCGAGAAAAATGATCACTACGAGTCGACCCAAGAAAATTATTTTATCACAAGCGAATATTTGTCTTTTTCAAATTTCATCACAGAATCATCACCACTAACGATAAAATACTTTGGGATTCTCTTTATTTGTCTAGTTTTTGTGGTGAAATTCATTTGCAATACTTTGCACAACACTGTTAACACAAACTAAACACTTTTTGATCAACAAAACGTTCCGAAAATTCCAATTACATTTTTTCAACAATCACTACTTTTTTGTCCTTGTACTTTTAATTGTTTTCACTCAGTTGATGGTGTTTGAAATGTTTTTATTGACCTCTGTTTCCAGAATTGGATATCTGCTGAAAAAAAAAATTAGAATAAAATAAAAACTTTTTATCAAATATTTTATCATTTCATCATGCATATAAATTTATATACAAATTTAAAGCTTTCCACTCGCAAGTTGCGAAATTTATATGTATTTTGCCGCCAGAGCGGCGGCATCCGAGTAGAAAGGGTTAAGATTGTGCAAGTAAGTATAAGATTTAAAGCAAGGAAAAAAAACTTAAATATTCAGTATATTGTACAGAATTCATTAAATAATACAGAGGTAGGTAAATGAATTATTTATTATTTTTAAAAATTATAGAACATTAGACTTATTAACTAATTGTCTTATTTAAGCTATTGTATAATAACTGCAATTAACTTTGCGGTATGCTCTTAGCGAAATAAAGCTATCTCAAAGACTTGTTAAAAGTTTGACTAAAGTAGCTTTGCCGAAGACATTTTTTGAATATTAATAAATATTAATTATCAAAATGATTATCATGGATCAAAAATTCTAAACAAAGATTCAACAATAAATTAAAACTTCGGTAAAAAATTTATTTATTTAGAGTTATGAATTTGTTCATTCGAATGTTTGCTAAAGTATATTAGTTTCAACTATTTCGTATTTTATAATTGATTAAAACAGCTAAATATAACAGATTTCAAGTATTTTTATATCGGCCAGCTTTATATCAAGCAGTAGTAATATTAGATATTCACTTGTGATTATAGATCAAGTATGATACAAAGTGAAAATAGCTTTTCGGGGCATTGCTGCAATTAACTTAAAAATACTAAAGAAGTTAGTTAAAAATATATTACAACTAGAAAAAACAGTTTTCAAATAGTTTCTTTTTAAATTAATAAAACAATTATTTAATGTCTTCATATAATGCTGGCAGATAATTCAAATCGAAATTAAACAAAATGTTGTTTTATATAAGCTTGATCAATAGAAAACAATATTTCCAAAGCAATCTAATTTAATGTAAATAAAAACATTTCCCCGTTTCTAAAATATTAACTTGCACAAATTTACTGGAAAATGTTTCATATTTCAACGGTTCTTCCATTCAATTGTGCGACCATTCATTACACTTAAGAACTTTACAAATATATGACAACAAAGGTAACATGTTAATCTGTTTAAAGATTTCCCCTCTTCGGTATCCTGCGGTACAAGGAATAATTGAAATATTAACTAAACTGTAAACACTCTTCAAATATCACTCGTCGGCTTCCGAATCTTTACATGCTTACATACCGATATATATTTTTTCTGATATTTTACACAAAATATGTTGTACTACACGGACTATTGTGAGGACGTACATAGGTATATTTGTTATACACGCATGTCCGATAATTTATAGCCGGGCAGTATACAAATCTTTTCAATAGAGAGCGACCGAACAAAATTTTTAGACCCCGCTTGTAAAGCACACAATGTTCATTGTATTATTTGAAGAAAGGACGTTTTACGGGATTTGGCTTCGATTCGGACATCTGTTTTTGCGCGAATACTGGAGAGTCAAACGCGTGATAAACTAATGCAGCGGTTCCCAGGGCCGCCTTCACGCCGAAGCGGGCCCTAGTTCGAAATATTTAAGAACTATCATTTTTTAATTTTGGTAATTAAAACAACAACCAGAATTTAGAGCCTCTGGGCTCTAGTGAAGTTACTTCTCGTCGACTCAACACGGTTGTCCCATTTCTGATATACTCTATCTTTAGAATTTCTTTAATACTAATGATTTTTAATTTAAAGCTGAAATGCCTGGCAAAGGCTATTTTACTTGGAAAATATTTTTATCAATATTTTCAACCAAAAACCGATGTCACTACTGCTTGACATCAAGCTGTCCGAGTACGGTATCAAACCTGGAACCTTCTATTTCAAAGTGCAAATCTCTAACTACTAAGCCATAAAATAGCTTTAAATTTGTTTTTGTCTACATGAAAACTTTTGCAGACATCAATTATATAACTAAAAGTCTTTATTGACATCGACAATTATTTTTAAAAAAATAATAAACTTTAACAAAGTATCGACATTGTTGTTCTAAATCAGATTTTACCAGTGACTAATATTTTTTTACGGGAATGCTAAAATCAAAACCGGTTCTCAAATTTGCTCCGGTTCTGTTCAATAAAACACCACTGGATTTTATTTCTGAATTAAATCAAAAGTTATGAAACTAGCAAAAAAAAAACTTTGTTGTAGTAATTGCAATTAATTTTTAATCATGATAATCTATTATAATGGTTATAATAAAACTATTTTATTCGAAATTATATATAAGTCTTATTTTCCAATATTATTGTGCAAAATTTTATTTATAAAAAGAATCGTCCAAAAATGAATAATTAATATCTCGAAAAAAGTGGGTGTTCAAATAAAACTATCAACATTTTTGCCAATTTTGAAAACTTGAAAAACGAGTTGAAAAACGTGCTTATTAGTTTTTGGTCATTTTTCCGTAATTAATTGCAGAACAGTTTTTGACCATTTTGATAAAAAAAATTATATTGATAGCATTTATAGTCTTGGCAAACATACTAAAATATTTATAAAATTCTCTCATTCTATTAGTTGCTAAATCTGAACTCGTTTTGATAAAATCTATGATTCACACATATCAGAAGTTCTTGCAACTTGGCTTAATGTCATTTATACTTATTGTTAGTTTTATATTGTTTTAAAAGACAAAATTGTTGTCCATACGCATATGACATACGACTAATTTAAATGCGCAAGCATATTGCTTAATAAGTGAAATAGATTTGTTTCAAAATACATATTTGCTCGAAGTCTACCCCCCATTGGACAGCTTTGGTTTAAGCAGTAGTGATATCGGTTTGCACTTATTGCTAGACTTTTAGTTATATTTGATGTGCATATGTCTAATAATCATTTTGACCGCCAAATGACTTTTTTTTAAGTTTTTCTTCTGGATCTCCAAAAGCGCTGAATCTGCCTTCCTAAAAATTTAGCCAATTCTTCATTCCGTGAATAGAAGTGAATAATGCTTTCTGAATCATTCAAATCGGACGGAGCGTTCTTTTAAAAACTGATTTGCTTATTTTACATTTTTAGCCCCTTATCTTCAAAAAGGCAAAACCCGCCTTTGCCAAAAACTAATCAGCACCTTTCTGCCCATCAATAAAAATAGGATGTTTGAATCGTTAAAATCGGTTGACCTGTGCTCTCGAAATCGTCGACGAAAATTTGTACATACATACATACATACATACTATACACACTCACATAACCATTCTTCTTAAGCTATGCCAAAATGTTCAGAAACTTTCGAAACGTAAAGATATGGAAAAAAATAAATTTTTCTTTTTTGTGATTACTAGAACTTACCCTAACTGGAAGTTAATAATAATAAAAATTGTACTGCACTTGGTTGAATTAAAAGACATCGAATACCTATATTAAAGATCCAGCTCGAAATAATCTGTCAGAAGGCTGCTATTCATTTTCCGTCCCGATACTGATCTTATCGTGAGCGTAACCCGCAGTCTCGGTTTATACCGTAACATGTTTTATGATGTAGTTCAGTTCTCATTCTTCGGTGTATATACAGAAATAAGGGTTGTC